AAGTCCATTAAAGCAATAAGCAGCTTTAACTCTGGGTTATTTTAGGGAATTACTGCAGACAAGTGTCTATATTCCAACAGTTCAGAGCTCCCAACCATGTATGGCAATGCTCCTCAAAAGTAATGATTCAATTCTTAAGGCATGACTTTTAAGATGCAATCTAACCAAGACAAGCATGAAATATATTCAGAGCAACAATAACACAACACAATGTTTACTGAGTTGCATTATTTCAACCAAAACTTTGTGGGGCACTTTTTTTTTTCTCTGTGCACCGAGTAAACAATAATCATCTCACTCTATTTTGTATGGGTGTACAACACAATTTATTGAAATCTACGCAATTCAGATTAAACTTTTTTGCACTTCAGCCCAAAATACTTTGCTATAAATACTATGTACTATCCATATTCCATAAAGTTATTCCATATTCTATCTGAATACTATAATCTATAATATTTAGAGACACTAAATAATTATAGTTTAAAAGTGTTATACTATATGAATATGATATATAATACTAAATGATATTATCATACAATAGTATAATATTTCTAAATACCATGTAGAACACTACAGATAGATAGATATAGAAACACTAAATGCTACACTGTACTGCCGACAAAGTTTTAAAACTAGGTCTCGTATTGAGTTAAAGTTTAATTAAACCTGCTCTAGTGTGGAGAAGTATGATCATGGCAAACAGAGCCGCGCGCGCGCGCGTGTGTGTGTGTAATGCCTGCGAGTTTGCATGCTCTGAAATGTGTTCGGCCATTTTAAAACAGCACCACCAACAACTTCTACCAGTGGAGGAGAAAAAATATAGCCGATGTGTGAACTGAAGCAGCATGACATGAACGTTTATTTAAATTAACTCATTCAACCAGCAAAGCACTAACCAGCTCAAACTGGCTTTGCGTGAAAATCTGACAGCGTTAAATCAAAGTTGTCAAAATAAGGAGTGAAAAACTTTGACCTTGTTGGACAGCTCCAAACACGACCCATCTCAATCAGACGAAGAGCGAGCTACACATTGCACGAAATATTAAAACACACAACATAACAAAAAAACCCCACTCCATTTAATTTCACTACATGGAGTTTTAACATGACTAAAAACAAATGAAGGCGTCCACTTGGCGTCTCACAGAAATCTGGGTGATTTCCGAATAAACAAAAGCTCAAAAGACATCATAAAAAGGATGTGATTTATTCTAAAAACGAAAGGAAAGTCGCTGTCCAGCTTGAATATTCGTATAAAACCTCAATTCTAGTCAATCTGACCGCAAAAGTTGCGTTGCGTACCTTCAACAACATGGAAAAACGACTTTTCCGGAAACTGCATGCATGCAACAACACACACTTACGCACGACAACCCAACAAAGTTACACTTTTTATTCAACACATTCGATCGAAGAACATGGGGAGGATTTTCGGTGTAATTTCTCGTTAAGTTACGCACTTTTTGCACTTTTAATTTGGTCCGCGTGTGTGTTAGCCGTGGTCCTGATCTGCTGTCTCTCCGTGCTGAAATCAGCCCTGGACAGCGCCTCTCTCTTTCAATGCAACCCTCCATTTTCACTCCACTTACTCAAACTTAGTTGGGCTCGTGCGCGACACAAAACAACACAACACAACACAACACCACACCCTACTCGGCTCCGAACCCGACGGAACCAAACGCACGAACTCACCAGCGGTGCTCGCTCGTTGTTTGGCGACGTTGTCGTAGAAACAAGTTTCGAGAGAAGTTATTTCCAAACTCTCACATCGGTCGAGGAAGTACGCGACATTCACGCGCATTCCAGCACATCGCTCTCGCGCGCCCTCGCTGGGGGAGGTGTGACGTCAGCGCGCTGCCGTTCTCGCGCTCTCCAAGTTTACTCGCGTGTGTTTTTCTACTGTGTGTGGAGAGCAGTTGCCAATTTAGCACTTTTGTTGCTAGATTTAGCAACTTTTCAGACTACCCTAGCAACCTTTTTTTTTTCAAAAAGCACCTAGCAACAAATTTAGCTATTTTTAAAAAGTTTTGGGCAACTTTTGTAAAGTGACTCAAATGATAAAAAAGACATATTTTCATCTAAATGACACAAAAAGAGGAAACCATTGAACAGCTAGCCAGCCAAGCAGCACATCAACCAGGAGAGAGCAAGAGAAATAGTACAAACAAATGTGCATTAAGTTGCTAGTTCCAATTGGTCAATAATAAATGCACATTTATGATACAGCATGTTATTAGCTTGTAATTGTTGTTCAGTTAGGTACACCGTAAGAAAAAATATGTGGAAAAACTAGTCATTTTCTGCCAGGATGTTATCCATTAAGTTATAACCTGTAACCTTAAAACACAAAATGCAATGTGGAATTTAAAACACAGGTGAAACACCCGTAAAAAAATTTATACGTATTGTCCCTTCATATAAACAGTACATTGTGTCCTATTTTTATAGACTTTTGTGTAGCACACTAATTAACTAGTGCACTGCTTAAAACTATAATTGTTCAGAATGTGCAGTTTTACTAGTTAATAAGAAAATACATGAAATGTGTAACTGTTCAATAATTCAATGTTGTAAAAAAATCAGATCATAAAGATGTGCTACTTGTGTTACTTTTACAAATTGAAATATTTTATGTTAATAATATTTTTATGAACAAATAACATTGAAAAAATGTGTTTCGCTGAGAGTTGAGTAATCTCGTGTACTCCACATAAAAACGCTGTTTTGGGTCATGGTTATGCAATGACGGCATCACGCAACGACAACATCATTTAGCAACTTTCAGCAACAAATCGATCTGCCTTTAGCAGCTTCCCCTGAAAGTGAGCTGGCAGCACTGCTGGAGAGCGCGCGAGTGACAGAATGGTCTGAACAAATACACAAGAATGCCGCGACGACATTTGAACGGGCGCTGTTAGTTTAGTAGTAGCCAGCTTTGTACAAGTTCTACTCATTGTTTCGTGTTTGTCGTCTAAAGCTACACGTGGCGAACAGGCAACAGTGATGTTTTAAGTTTAAAGGAATATTTTTACAGGACGATATTAGGCAGCTGAACTCACAGGATCAACACAGGCGCTTGGCAAACAACTTGTACAGATGGTGGGGGATACTATTTATTTTCCATTACATTATGTCTGGGGGGTTTTTCTTCACACTTTTAACAATCCAGTTTTTCCTAAGAAGAGGCATCTGGTACTGAAATCTGGTATTGAAAATCACGTCTTCCTAATTAAATTAAAATGGGTCTAATGAAAAGTGTGTTTTAATCAGGTCCTAAAATTATGACTGAAAAAAAATATTTGACTATTGATGAACCAGTTTGAGTAGAAATAATCAAATAAAATGAATAAACTTTGGGACACAACTTTGGCAAAAATGTATCTTTTTCCTGGTTCAGTCACTTGGCATTTCATAATTTCTTATGTGTTGTGTAATAACTTGTGTATTATTCTGCAATTAGCTGATATATGTATAATAGATGTATAAAAACACCAAATGTGAAAGGTTGTCATTGTTTTTGTCAAACACAATGGCTTTTTTATTTGAACTTTTAAACAAATGTCATTAATGAATGGAAATTCGTTGTTTAGGGTTAATAGAAGGTGCAAGTTTATGGTGCTTGCAGAAGAGAGTCTTCAACAGTTTTTTAAAGGTCTCAAATGGTTAAAAGTTTCAATATCACCTATGTATATGAATGTGTATCAAATAAAAACTGTTACTACACAGTCGAGTGTTTGCAGCAAATGATCTACCAAGGCAATAATAATGTTCTGTTACGCTTTTAACATGCTAAATCTCACTTAAGCAGGGGTATAACAACGGTTTGTGTGATTTAGTTTTGCTCCATCCTAACATGCCGCTGTATTTTACAAACATATTGTTATATTGTTTGTGGCCACAAGGGTGCGCTGAACATCTACGTGTGAAGCATTGGCCCTTCTGCACGAAAGAATGAATCTGGGAAGTAACAAACTCTAAGAATTTATTTCTAACTCAAACATGAGCAACCCATCTATAGGCCTACATCATTTTTAGGCCATTTCCATTCTTATTATTATTTTTTATTTTTTTAAATAAACAATTTAATCCAGTGCCCATTTTATTTTTGAGTTTGAAAAAGTTTTACAGAGTTACATTTTGTGTTCAGGGTGTACTTTATTTTCAGTTAACTTTTTCGTAGCTGGGCGTAAATAGTCACATGACTAGAGCTGTTAAATTCAAACTCGTCTCTGAAAGATAATGTCTGTTTCCATCAAAGAAAGCGCATTTGGTACTGTATATGTACAATTTATAGGGTCTATTATAACTGAAATTTTAGTTATTATATATATAAATTTAAGTTATAATAGACCCTATTATGCATCATTCTCTCTCAAATTTTTATTTGATGTAAAATAGCAAAAGCGGAAAGTAAAATTTAATCAAAAAAAAAGAAAAAAACAAAGTATAAAAATTAAAACTATGCGGTCACATTATAAAATAGTAGATTTAAAGTATTGTTAAATAAACCAACCAACGTATAACTAAACATATTCATTTATGAATAATTAATTAAATGTATTTTTGACCAACCAAGCAGTTTTTGTCTTATGGTTAGAGAGTCGGTCTCTTAACCCAAAGGTTGTGGGTTCGAGTCTTGTACCGGCAGGGATTGTAGGTGTGAATGTACAGCACTCTCTCCCACCTTCAATACCACGACTGAGGCGCCCTTGAGCAAGGCACCGAACCCCAACTGCATAAATGGCTGCCCACTGCTCCGGGTGTGTGGTGTGTGCTCACTTTGGATTGGTTAAATGCTCTTTTGTCCACTAATTCCAAGTACTTGGCCACATGTCACGACACCTTTCACTAAGTCATCCGAGGAGTAAACAGAAGCGCGGAGAAGGCTTTTATTGTGAAGCTGACTTCCTCTCTTCCTGACTTCCTCTCTCTGTAGCTGGCTTCACATGATGACGCAACTAGCTCATTAACCTATCTACAAGTCATAAGTCAACAGCACGTTTGCCTGCTGAGTGTTTAGAGATCAGAGACTTTGACAAGCCGAGCTCAACTCTTCCCCCAGAACTTATGAACCTATCTGAAAGCTCTACGCGTTACAGTAAAAACCGCTTTGGAGTTTGTCCGGAAACTTATCGCCATCTCCCTTCCGATAACATTATAGCGGATCGTTCTGGCACGGAGGTTTATCATGTAAAACATCCGGGATTTTTGAGATGTGGGGTTTTAATATTCTCTCGGCGGACTTTTGACTTCTGGATCTGAAGGAGAGTTGTAGTTCTGTTTTCGTGAGTTTATACAGGTTTAAACGTCCATCATGATCGGGGATGTAAGAACGCTGTAGGAAAGGAAACGAGCCAGATGTAACGTGTTGCTAGCGGAGAAGTGAGCTGAGCTCTTGAATTATTCAAGATTTAGTGGAATCGTGTGAGATGTTTATATAAGACATATATATTTATATAAAATTGTATATAATTGTATAATTAAAACAGAATTTGACAGAGTTTGCAACCTGTAAATTTGTATATAAATATTCGATGTTACCCAAAAACCCCAGGAAGTAGAAAGCACATAGTAAGTGATCGATTGTGTTAGATTGTAAATAACAACCAATCCAAAAAAAAAAAAAATTGCCATCTCCAGGATTTCAACAATGCGGGATGCGTCTGGGAATTTCAATCTTCTACACAAGACTTGCTCTCTAGTGGTGTTTCTATGTTTCCTACACATCTCTGTCACTCTCATATATTATATGAGAAATTCAGATTCAAGGCAAACCTTTGTACAAAACCAGCAAAGCCCTCAGATCCACAGGAAACTGACCGAACAGAGAGTCGCTACAGAGGAGAGCAGTCTGCCACCTGTGTCTAATGTCACAGAGACCGAGAGAAAGCTGGAAACATGCCCCGACAATCCACCTCGATTGGGTGAGCTGCTGTTTCATTTGTGTAGAGTTGATCTCTGGGAACTTGTTCAAGAGAGAGAGAGATAATGAGTGTGTGTGTGTACCTGTTTTTCTATTCTTTTCTAGTTTTTTGAAAATCTAAAAATGCACAAAGTTTCCTGTGAGGGGTAGGTTTAGGGGTAGGGTTGGTGTAGGGCAATAGAACATACGGTCTGTACAGTAGAAAATACATTACGCCTATGGAGAGTCCCCACGAGGATAGCAAACCAGACATGTGTGTGTTTGTGTAATTGTATATAAATATATTAGTGCTGTCAAGCGGTTAATCGCATTCAAAATAAAAGTTTTTGTGTACATAATATATGTATGTGTACAATTATGTGTGTATATATTATACACACACAAACCCATACAGTAAATATTTACATGTATGTGTATATATATATATATATATATATATATATATAAAATATACAGTGGTGTGAAAAAGTGTTTGCCCCCTTCTTGTTTTTTTTTTTTTTTTGTATATAAACATAACATATTTTCTTAAATATATACATGCACATGTTTGTATTTCTATATACATAATACATATACACACAGTATACACTATGGAAGCCTGTTTCCGCCACTGAATAAAAAATATTTTCTCAGAATTGCGAGTTTATATCTCACAATTCTGAGAAAAAAAATCAGAATTACGAGATATAAACTTGCTATTGCGAGAAAAAAAAGTCCGAATTGTGAGTTTTTATCTCTCAGTTATGACTTTATTTCTCAGAATTGCGAGTTTATATCTCACAATTATGACTTTTAACTCGCAATTGCGAGTTTATACCACGCAATTCTGAGAAAAAAAAAAGTCAGAATTGCGAGAAAAAAGTTGCAATTACCTCTTATTTTTTATTCAGTGGCGGAAACGGGCTTCCATAATACACGCATATATTATGTAAACAAAAACTTTTATTTTGGATGCGATTAATCACAATTAATCGTTTGACAGCACTAAAATAAATATAATTTAATCATTGTTTAACTTTATAATAACATGCAATATGAATTTATATTATATATTTTCAGTTATATGCTGTTTTCTATTTAAAATATATATACTCAGTAAGAAAACTAAAATATATACTGGTCAGAAGTTTAGAATAATTAAGTTTTTTTTTTTTTTTTTAAACCAAGGCTGCATTTATTTGATCAAAAATACAGTATACGCAGTAATATTTTGAAATATTTTTACACTTCAAAATTACAGTTTTTTTTTAAATTATTATCAATGTAGAAATACTTTTAATCCTTTTAATATTTAAAAATACTTTTAATCAACAAGGGTGCATTAAATTGATCAAAAGTGACGGTAAAGATATTTTATAATGTTCCATACATTTCCTTTCAAATTAATGCTGTTCTTTTGAGCTTTGGATTCATCAAAGAACACTGAAAATAGCATAAAGCATAAGATACCCTTTTTAAATGCATTTAGAAATCTCAATGATCCCAAACTTTTGTCCGGCATGCACAAATTTTCATGCCATATCTAAATTTACTGAGATGACAACTACAACTGAAAAATAGGCTTTACTTTCTTTATTCAAAATATACATATTTTTCCAATTGAATTTGGGGTTAAATATGCCTACACTGTAAAAAATAAGTGTAATTTTAACTGAAACATTTAGTAAAAACGCTACGGAAAAAAACAGTTAATAGGTTAACCGTAAGTTCCCGTACTATATACAGGGAAAAACTGTAAAATATCTAACCAGACATTTCATGTAATTTTACAGTAAAATGCTGTTAATTTGACAGTTTTCAGAAGTAAAAATAACAAATCAATGTATAATTTACAGTCAAAAACTGTAAACTGATATTCCCAGAATTCCCTGCATGACACTCCACATTTGAAAGTATTTTGTTTAAATAATCATGTTTTTTAATAGTTTTTGTGATTTAGTTATGTATATTTGGACTTTGTTACATCTTCTGTTGTTTAATGAAAGTTTAATGCATTATTTAAGTATCATGTGTGTTACCATGATGGTGTTTTGTGTTTGCATGAATGACTCTGTGCACCTTCTATATATTAGTATATACTTCTGCTTGTGGCGAAGCTACTCGTGATGCACTTTGATTCTTCATGTGGCTTTCTCTTTTACCACCTGCATTATTATGGTGGTTGTCAGTATTTGTACTGTAAAATTTACAGTTTTTGGCCGTAAATGTGTTTACAGTTTTTCTGTATTTTTTACAAAATTATTCTGGCAACCACAGCTGCCAAAATTATTTAGTAAAAACTACAGACATTTTTTTTTTTTACAGTGTAGATATGTTCTGGGCAGTTTTAAATTCACCCATTTTTGTGCATCTAGGCTGTTTTAGATTGGTTGTTTTTAAATAAAAAGTCTTTGTATAACGAATCCACATACGAGTTTACATTTTGCCAGTATATAATGATTCGGCACAATGCAGTATTTCTGAGAAATCTGTGGTCGTAATAAATGATGTGACCTGTCACTTTGTGTTCCCTCTGTCCAGATTCCAAACACAAAAGCACGTTTTTACAGCTGCTGTGACTCTGGTTGTTATATTTACCCCTTTGTGTAATGCTTTGTTGACAATACAGCAAATTCATGTTTCTTGCATGAGTGTTATATGGTAGTTTTTACATTATCTACTGATGCTGATTAATTGGCTTCACTGAAGCCCTGTGTCGTAATGGAAAAATTGGCCGAGAAGCTTTGTTACACGGTTATTTTGTTTCAGCTATCTTTCTCTTTTGTCAGACAACATTGACACTGTTGCTTGTAGCAACAGTAGCATGATAATGTAATTGGATACACCATAGTGCGATGAATAATAATGAGTTCTCTGAGGAGAGACTGGGTTTACTTTAAGACACAAGGTAGCGCTTGGTTGTTTTTTTTAATGGTCGGAATTATCCAATATCAGTAATGCTTTTTAAAAAATAAGTTTTATGTCTCCATAATAAAGCATGTAATTTGTGTCTTGGTTCTTCTAGTGGGTCCAATGCGGGTAGAGTTTTCTGGCCCGGTCTCCCTAGACCTGGTGATGTCAGAGAACCCAACGTTGAAGCCCGGTGGACGGTTTAAACCCACAGACTGCATTGCCCAGCAGAAGGTGGCAATCATCATCCCCTTCAGGAACCGCGACGAACACCTGAAGTACTGGCTGTATTATCTACACCCCATCCTCCAGCGCCAGCAACTGGACTACGGTGTCTACGTCATCAACCAGGTTTGTCTTTCAACCAGTGCAGTAAAACTTATGCAGTCTTTGACCTGCGAGTCACGAGTGCATAATCTTCAATTGCAGAAGGGTTCAAAGGCCTGTGGTAGTGGAGTCAAGAGGTTAAATTTCTGTGCTAGTTTGTTGAAATAGACAAATGTTTTAATCTGGTTGTTATCATTAATGATGAGTTCCTTCCTCTTAAAGCTGTGTTTTGTAATATCTTTTACTTCTTTAATCTGCATGGTCTACTCTGTTGTGTAATCTGGAATGTAAACTCTCTGTTACGTGGGCGTGCAGGGGCATGAAGTTTGGCATGTGTTTTGCTAAGTGAACTCTTCTCTCAAAATCCACATTTCTCTCTCATTGGCCATTTTGAGTAATGTAGCTCACAAACATGGCTGTTCACAATTACATACATGCTTGTAATGAAAATTGATACTGCTTAACTGATATTTGCACAGATGATTAATTTTAACTCCTACAGCAAAAACTAATATCTTATTGAACACTTATTTCCTCCATTATTTGATGAAAATATTTGCCATTTTTAATTGAGCAAATACATTTTATTTACATGTAAGCTTCCATTATTTTGACAAAAAATTAATTGTGTAAAATAAGTCACTCATATATTTTAAATGGTAACACTTTACAATAAGGTTCCATTTGTTAAAATTAGTTAACTACATGGACTAACAATGAATAATCCTTCTAAAGCATTTCTTAATCTTACTTAATGTTGATTCCAGCATGAACTTATACATAATTAAAACTAAACATTTTATCTATTAATGTTATTTAATGGACCTGAGCTAACATGCACTAACAATGAACAGCTGTATTTTTTATTCGTTAACATTAACAAAGATGAATAAATACTGTAGCAAATATATTGTTCATTGTTAATGTTAACAAATGGAACCTCATAGTAAAGTGTTACAATTGATAGAATGCATGAATACTGATTTGATGCTATGTAAGTTTGACAATTACAAGCATGCGAAATTGGTTAACTGATATTGTGCAAAAGTACCAGTACTTTTGACATCCCTACTTTGAGGAGGTCATGCTACGTACGTTTACAATTAGTATTGTAGCAGATGCTTTTATCCAAAGCAACTTCCAAATGAGGAACAACATGGCAGGCCATTATGCAGTACACAGTGCCATGTAGGGCTGTGATGATAACCGCATTACGTTAATGTTAACAAATGGAACCTCATAGTAAAGTGTTACAATTGATAGAATGCATGAATACTGATTTGATGCTATGTAAGTTTGACAATTACAAGCATGCGAAATTGGTTAACTGATATTGTGCAAAAGTACCAGTACTTTTGACATCCCTACTTTGAGGAGGTCATGCTACGTACGCTTACAATTAGTATTGTAGCAGATGCTTTTATCCAAAGCAACTTCCAAATGAGGAACAACATGGCAGGCCATTATGCAGTACACAGTGCCATGTAGGGCTGTGATGATAACCGCATTACCGCAGTAATGAGATGCCGACCGCGGTGTTGAGGTCATCACCGTCATCACCACAGCACTGCGGTAACAAGCAAATTTCTCCAGCTCGGGATCAATAAAGTCTTATATTAGGCTATCTTATCTTGATCATGTAAATGGACAGCAGTGATTCAGAGCATTGATTGATTATCCATAAGTTTTGCCCAATTATTTACGGGATGATGCAATAGGCTATTTCGTTTCGTATTCGCTTTGAAAAAGCGCTTCTTCACCACGGTAAGAAAAAAATCCCATACCGTCACAGCCCTAGTGCCAAGCTTCATGTGTAAGAGAAGAACAAAAGATGATGGAGTCTCAATATTCAGATTGGGGATTATTTAGTGAATAGCATTTTTTTCAATGGACCCAAATATTTACATTTAATCACCAGGGAATTCTTCAGCTATTTCTCGCCATCATAAAAAAGTACAGCTAATCAGTGCTAAAACGAGGTACATTACACAGTAGTTTCCCCAGACTGTGATAGAGACAGCTGCTGTTTGGGGCTGGGCGTCCTTTCAAAACAACGTTGAGCGGTCTGTTGTCGTTTTTCAGTAAATACCCATGACATTACAGACTGGAACGAGGTGAGACACAGTGCTGCGGTTCTTGTCTCTCTTTTATTTGGGACTCTCAGAGAACAGATGTCTTCATCGAATCCATTTCAAACAATCAGTTATCAGTGGTTTGGGAATTTTCCAAGTAAACAAAATGACTAATGTGTATCATTCTGTGCGGCTTTAAAAGCACTAAAAACATCCTAATGTGCTCGCCAAGAAGGTTTTGGACTTGTCTGTGGTCTTCTCTGATTGTGTCTTCTCTGAAGTGTTACTTGATTGTTCTTTCTAATTATTCTCTTGCTCTCTTTGCCACCCCCTTCTTTTCTCTGCACCTTGCATTTATTTTTTTTCACCCTTTCATCCTACATTCCTTCCCTTTTTCCTGTTCAAACCGAACCCCTTTTATGCACATCAGAGGCCCTTGCGCTCAGGAAAAGGTGAGATGTCTGCTTGCTCTTTATCTGGCCAATCACACTACGCTTCCCTGGCTGCGTCTAACGAATGGTAATGTTGGCTTCTTGATTATCTGTTTTCTCTTTGTTGGTTTCTTTTTCCTTCCTTATTTTCTCTGGCCTCTGTCTCTCACTCTCTTAAGTTCCTCATTTTACCAGGGATGGCAGTTCTGTGCCAAAAATAGCTGTTTTGTGTTGCCAAAGCATAATTTAATCACTTTATCTAATCTTTTTGAAAGACTGGTGACTTTTTAAAGGTTATCTATTTATTTACTGGTGAAAAGTTATATTAATCCAAACATGCTTTATAATTATTTACTCATCCTTATGACATCGCAATCCCATATGTTGCTATTTTTTCTGTTAAACACTGTTAAATGAATTGAATTAAATTAAATGTAATGAGGGTGAGAAAATAATGACAGAGTTGTCTTTTTTTTAATTGATTAGCCTGTATTTATTTTCTCTGCTGTCCTATTTTCTGAAGTGTGCATCTATTTGTGCTACTTACATCTGTGCTATATGAACAATGAAGCTCTTCTTCACTTTCAGTTCTTTGTGTTTTGATTCCTCAAGGGTTTTAATCCTTTTGTCTGCTTTTTTTTTTTAACTCCCTAAAATGTAAATGAATCCTCCAGTGACACATTGCAGGTTGACGATCAGATCTGGTTGTTGACATGTGAGAACACTACATTATGTCGACTCAAAAGATGGCCATAGAACAGGACGATCTGGTTCTTCAAAGCCAAGTCTCGCTTTGAATGCACAGGCCACATCTTCTGAATCAATCGTGGATGTCGTCTGCTCCACTAGAACAAGCGTATCTCAGTTCATTTAGGGCAGCTTGTTTGAGTTTGCTGTGTGTTATAAAAGAGAGGATTGCTACTCTCTGTCGGGTGCAAGGAGGTTAACAGATAGCTCTGGGCTCCTGAGGCTCCGCCGTCATTAAATTTCATTACACAAGCTCAAGTGCCGCCGTGATGCTCTTCAGAGGAAGAAAAGGTGGGCTCCAGACAGAGAGTGCATCTATAAATCATGAGCCGAAGGCCCAAAGCCAGCAGAAAGATTTGAATGACAGTTGGAAATGAGTCACCTTGGAATGTCATATTTTGGCTTTCCAAGATCTTCTTTACAAAAATGTACCATGGTAACCATAGATTCCACCATTGAAAACACAAAGAAACATTGAAACGTATTTTATTACTGTAAAATGGGGCTTCCCAAAGCTCTAATGTTGGGTAATGGTCACATGACATGCAGGTAAACTAATAAAATATTGAATTCTTTTAATTTTACAATTTAATTAAATTTGCAAACCCCAGTTTTGGGAAGCCCGGCTGTAAAATTTATATATTTAATTAATTGGTATAAGATCTTCTACAACCACAGTGGAAGAAGCCTTCAAAATCGTTCGTTCTTTCTTTCTTTCTTTCTTTCTTTCTTTCTTTCTTTCTTTTTATAATAGCAGTGGTGGCAAATACCACATAATACCATATTAGCTTTATCATAGTAACAGCAACTAGCATATTTTGCCAGACACTGATTACCATGGTCCCTTTTTTGTTAAAAACAGCTAAAATTCATTAGTTACTGTTGTCAGACATGGCAATCTTTTCTGTTTTGCAAGGAATTGTGTGAAATTCATGTCAACTTCCACACAAAAGCTAAAAAAAGTAGTTTCTATCCAGTAAAACGTTTTTACCCTTGTAGAACTAGTAGGAATTTTGTTATATGCCATTAAAATAGACCAATATAATACTTTCTGGCCAATAACTAATAATGGGCAATTATGTTGTTTAATAATCCAATTTTAAAGCTGTATTGTTGTCATTTTTATTTTAATCATCATTCACATGAAAATTCCAATTTGATTGTATTTGATTTACAGTAGAAAGGATGACTTCTTGTTTTACTACTTTTAAATAATGGATAACTTTCAAAACCTGCATAAGGAAGTGCATGAGCCGAAGGCCCAAAGCCAGCAGAAAGATTTGAATGACAGTTGGAAATGAGTCGCCTTGGAATGTCATATTTTGGCTTTCCAAGATCTTCTTTACAAAAATGTACCATGGTAACCATAGATTCCACCATTGAAAACACAAAGAAACATTGAAACGTATTTTATTACTGTAAAATGGGGCTTCCCAAAGCTCTAATGTTGGGTAATGGTCACATGACATGCAGGTAAACTAATAAAATATTGAATTCTTTTAATTTTACAATTTAATTAAATTTGCAAACCCCAGTTTTGGGAAGCCAGGCTGTAAAATTTATATATTTAATTAATTGGTATAAGATCTTCTACAACCACAGTGGAAGAAGCCTTCAAAATCGTTCGTTCTTTCTTTCTTTCTTTCTTTCTTTCTTTTTATAATAGCAGTGGTGGCAAATACCACATAATACCATATTAGCTTTATCATAGTAACAGCAACTAGCATATTTTGCCAGACACTGATTACCATGGTCCCTTTTTTGTTAAAAACAGCTAAAATTCATTAGTTACTGTTGTCAGACATGGCAATCTTTTCTGTTTTGCAAGGAATTGTGTGAAATTCATGTCAACTTCCACACAAAAGCTAAAAAAAGTAGTTTCTATCCAGTAAAACGTTTTTACCCTTGTAGAACTAGTAGGAATTTTGTTATATGCCATTAAAATAGACCAATATAATACTTTCTGGCCAATAACTAATAATGGGCAATTATGTTGTTTAATAATCCAATTTTAAAACTGTATTGTTGTCATTTTTATTTTAATCATCATTCACATGAAAATTCCAATTTGATTGTATTTGATTTACAGTAGAAAGGATGACTTCTTGTTTTACTACTTTTAAATAATGGATAACTTTCAAAACCTGCATAAGGAAGTGTGTATTGTAATAAATAAATAAATAATTTTGTCTGAGATTATTCGCTTCAGTATCTGCCCATTCAGATTGTTACAGGTCATTTATCTTGCCCTATACTGAAAAGCTCACTTAGAAAAGGAAATGTAGGCTTTTTGGAATAGTGTGCATTACGGGTGTTCTGTTTTTGCCACCTGCCAACCATGTTGTGAAAGATTAAACTGATAGCAGTGACGTGCTCCCATACAGCAAGCACAAGTGTTCTGATTTTATTAGTTTAAACATAGACACCCGCTTTAGCAAACACTCATTTCATTTTTATGGCACGAAAGGTCAGCTATAAATCACACTGCTTTATAGACATTGTAACACATTTCTTCCACCACCCTCTCATATGTGATTTCATTTGTATTTAATGTGTATTTTTCAGCTTTGTATCATCCTCTGACCCCTCTCTCTCTCTTTTAATGACAGGACGGCGAGGAAACGTTCAACCGCGCCAAACTGCTCAACGTTGGTTACGCTGAGGCTTTGAAGGAGTATGACTACGATTGTTTTGTCTTCAGTGATGTAGACCTCATCCCAATGGATGACCGCAACTTCTACAAGTGCTTCAATCAGCCCAGGCATCTGTCTGTATCTATGGACAAGTTTGGATTCAGGTATTTCTGGTCTTTGTTGATGGTGTATTTTCAATACACAGGTAATATGGAACAAACATGGTTTGTTTGCACATGGTATTTGGACAAGTTATTCTCTGAAATACTTTGGAGTATCATGTTGGCTATATGTATGTGCAAATTTATATACTGCGGTGTACATATTTACATGAATATATGCAGACAGTACTGCATTACAGTATTTTTTTATTGCCATAGACTTTAATATATAATCATTTTCTTTTTCTGGAAAAAATACTTTATTGTCTTACACTATGGTTTAAAAGTTCGAGCATAAGAGATTTCATTCAAAAACATGAAAATGTCTTACTGACTTCAAACTTTTAAAGTTTAAGTTTTTTAGTGGATATACAGTCATAGAGATATAAAACAACTCTCTCTTCTAAATACCACTGTATATAAATATGGTAATCGTTCATTTCCATGGTATATACCAAATTACACCTACAGTGGGTATGGAAAGTATTCAGACCCCCTTAAATTTTTCACTCTTTGTTATATTGCAGCCATTTGCTAAAATCATTTAAGTTAATTTGTTTTCCTCATTAATGTACACACAGCACCCCATATTGACAGAAAAACACAGAATTGTTGACATTTTTGCAGATTTATTAAAAAAGAAAAACTGAAATATCACATAGTCCTAAGTATTCAGACCCTTTGCTCAGTATTTAGTAGAAACACCCTTTTGATCTAATACAATACTAATACAAATGTTGTAGGATCAGACTCTCTATGGTTGGTCTATGACCTTTGTGTTCTTAAAAGAATATTCTGGGTTAAATTTGCTGTAAATGTGTTTTTCATTAAATTTTTATGAGGGATGAGTCGACTTTATTTTCATTGGTAATCCATAACAGGCCACAGATGCTGCTGATTTAACCAGGTCATATTTAATCCAGAATATCCTTTAACCTTAGGTTACGCCAGCAGGACTTTGTCCTGTAATAAGTAAGTCACTTTAGATAAAAACGTCAGATAAATGATAAAGTAGTGGTGTTTGGATGGGAATATTCTAGCGACGTCACACATGATTCCCATTAGGGCCCATTGAGAGCTCAACTGTCTGTCTGAAATGAAACTGTAGCTTGTTGGAGCGGCTTGTACCAGTGACCTCCAGCACAAGTTCCGTGTAACATGAGTATGATGTATGTGAAGGCGTGTGTGTGCTCACGTGTGTCCTTTGGTATTTACAGTGTGTAATGAGGAAATGATAAAGGTTAGGTTTTAAACACCCACACACTGAATCAGTTGTGTTGCTCTTTTGTAACCTATGTCGGCAATCTTTTATAAGGTCTTTACAGCGTTCACCACTGCTAGCATGGGCCGCAGGAGCTGGGCGGCTTTTTTTTCCCCCCACAGAACTTCAAAAGCATCTGGATATCATTTGTAATTTTCAAGAGTTACCGTGCGGAAGAACGTCAGACGAGAGAGAGCCAGAACCTGATGTAGGATAGTGTTTGCTCATTAATTTCAAACAGAGACCCATTTGTGTAGAGACAATCATGTAGAAACTAAGCAAAATAGCTGTCAAATGATAACGAATGCCGTGAAGATTGGACAGACATTTGGCTTAAAAAAAAAAAACAAGTGTGCTTTGGCATGCTTTACTCTATAATTGTCCTGTGTTTGAATTTTAATGTATTTAAATGTACTTGTTTCCCTCTCTATGCATTTTGTGTTACTTTGAATGTTATTTTGAATGCATGTTCACTTTACCTGGCCGTGATTTTGCAGTTTCTAAAGGGACAGTCCACCCAAAAATGAAGTTATATTATAATTTACCAGTGCTGGGTTACTAATGATTACATGTAATCTGGATTACGTAATCAGATTAAAAAAAATGTAGTACTTGTAATTAGATTATATTACATTTTAAATGCTCATATCAGATACATATAGTTACTTTTTATAAATTACGTGATTACTAATTATTCACACAATGGTAGTAAGTTATTCATCATTTGCTGATTCTCCCTAATTCCTCTTTTTATATTTTCCTTTCTAAAAAATTCTAATGTGTTTAGCTTTGAATATTTACAATATAGAATGGCTATGTACATTTTCATGTAAATTAATTTGCAATCCATTTGGGGACAAAAGCACCTCTCAGTCAGTTATACCATGTTAATTTAAAATAATTTAACAACACATTGGCATGTTCACAGTTCTCTGATGTCAGTTAATGGTCACATGCAGGTCAACAAATTAACTATTTCAAATGTAGACATTTTATTTAATGTATTCATCTTAATTTGACATTTTTATGATTTAATTAAATATGATATTTTCATCAATTCATAAACCCTCTGCAGCTCTTTCAGTGAAATGATGTAGTGATTTATAGTAGGTATTAACAGCAAAGGTGTGTATCCATTTTAGTGTTATTAGAGGGCTAGAGAAACAAATAATAGCAACTCTGAGTAGAAGGTTCAAGTGGTGATCTTGTGATTATGCTGACATTCAGGATTACTAACATTTTTTAAATCCGTGCTCAGATGGCAAGGTTTCCAGTTATTTGACTAGAAGCAACTCTTTGTGAGTGTGATCTCTATAAAATAATACAAAATAAATAGAAAATATTGTCTAAGATATATTTAAACCATTAGTTAGCTAACTACTATTTTTTTTCCTATTTCGTTTGAAATGGTCCTGCTGTTTAACAAATATTTTTTTAGAAGTACAAATATTAGATACATTTTGGTATTTTTTTATTTTATTTTATTATGTAACACAAGACACTGTAATGTATTATTAATTAATATTTTTATTATTAATAAATGAATCAATTCTTAATTGATTTAAGAAATTAATTGATTTTTTAATTTCTAGAGACATAATAATAGATAACAATTTCTGGTGCTCTTAGTTTGGTCAAAGGTATCTCACACCAAACTGGTTAAACTGCGTGCTCCCTGATGGCCAACTATTGCTATGGTTATCACTGTCAACCATCACACGTTTGGGTTAGTAGGAGTGGCACCACCTGATCATTTACAAGACCAACTGGCTTACAGCAAAACACAGAGGCAGCAGATGTTTAAGGGCTCATATTCAGCCCCCTGCCAGTTCTCATTAGTGCACCGTCATTGAAACACTAATTTCCGTGCAGAGAAAAATCAAGCTATATGCTGCACTTCTTCTGCACCTGATATAGCAACTGCCACCCAACACGCAACTGTTCCTCAGTGTTTCTATCTCTCTCGGTCCGTTTCCAACAGGTTGCCATACGTACAGTACTTTGGTGGCGTGTCATCCCTGAGCAAGGAACAGTATCTGAAGATCAACGGCTTCCCAAACAACTACTGGGGCTGGGGAGGAGAAGATGATGACATATTTAACAGGTCAGAGAACTCTTTAAAAAAATACTCCACCCAAAAATGAAAATTCTATACTTATTTACTCACCCTCATCTCGTTCCAGACCCATCTACTGAGTGTTTTTTTTTTCTTCTTCTTTCTGTGGCACAAAAAAAATCTCTTACTGAAAATAATGGTAAACAAGTTTGGAACATCATGAGGGTGAGAAAACAATGGCAGAAAATCACATTGTGAAATGTCCTCCCTTGTATTTACATTTGTGCACACCCACATTAAAATACTGTCTGTGAATGGAGATGCAAGTATAGTGTGAACGCCTCTTTTAGTGCAGTTAACAGAGGAAACCTGATCCAGCAAAAACCGGAAACGTAAATTCAGCTGAGGGTTCCATTTTAAGCCTCACACATCCTGTTGCTGTACTGTCAGCATGGCACTGCAAAATCACAAAGCACATACAAATAAGCAATGTTTCTTGAGCACCATTATTAGAATTATTAGATTTCTGAAGGATCATGTGACTCTGAAGACTGGAGTAATGGTGCTGAAAATTCAGCTTTAACATCAAAGGACTAAATTACATTTTAAAATATCTTTTAAAATATATCAATTTCAAAATATTACAGTTTTTAATGTATTCTTAAATAAATACAGCCTTGACGAGCAGAAGACTTTAAAAATAAATAAATACATTTCAAAAATCTTAACGACCTCAAACATTTGAACTGTAATGTAGTTGAAATGAATAGCATAGTATTACTGAAATGTCCTGGTTCTATGTTCATAACAGTTTGGGAGATAAAGAGCATTCTACCAACAGCAGGACATGGCAGATAAAAACTCTTATCATCAGTTTGTCAGGGTGCAGACGGAAGACGATAGCTGTTTAACGTCTTATTTGCATGTCGCAGAGTCATTTTCCACAGCTGTCTTGTTTCTCGTGTGTGTGTGTGTGTGTGTGTGTGTGTGTGTGTGTTTTTTTTGTGAGTTTCACCACTGTTTAAAGGGTAGTGGAGAGTTACACTGGACTGGGAAATATTGTGAACTTGCATCATCTGCATGAACACCTGCATTTGTCAGCTGCTCAGCTACAGCCTTGTTTTTGCTGTGGAGCATTCAGGAAAAGGAAAATACTTGCAGAGCAGGAAACTGCTTTTAATATTTGAAAAGCCTGAGAATACTGGGTGATAGTGCAGTCTCACTACTGCTTTAAGTCTTCTGCCTGGCAGTTAAAACAACCGGTGAAGGAAAGCATTAGTAACCACCCAGCGCACCATGGCAACTCCAGAACAATGTGAATAGGGTGCCTGCCCCCCTTTTTCAGTTACTCTGATTCATTTTTCCAATAGGAATAAAAAAAAGTCTTCGTTTAAGTGTTAAAGCGCTATAAGCCATGAACCAGGCCAACCAGTAATGAGGAGAATTACAAACTTATATATATTTAAGTTCTTTGAGAGCATGGTGACACTGACTCGTTTATGCCTCGCTTGGGACGATTTGCTTGCTGCGACTCTCTGATTGGTGGAATTTTCTATACAGCATCATATAGGTAATGTAGTTTTACCAGGGATTCTACAGTACTGTTAAATATGATTATTTAAAACATTCATTGAAATAATGTGAACTGATGGCTTCAGCAAAAGCGTTTACCATCGATTAACAACCTCAGAACTCGCAGTAGCTCTGTCTCAAAGAAAATTAATGACGTTTTCATTTCCAGAACCTGACTGACGCACTCTGTAAAACTCAGAAGACCTTAACAAGTCAAGCAAGACCATTTCCAATCAAACAAGTTCATCTTGTATCTACATGAATTAGGAAAGATCAGTATCTATCATGTTCTTTGACTCTTTTAAAGAGACCGTTCACCTAAAATGAAATTTTTTTTTTCATTGGGGTCCAGTGTTGTTCTCCTCCACTTATAATGTGTCTAGACCAATGCGCTTTAAATCAGATGTATTAATTATGGACTGGAAAGAGGCTGATACGAGCTGCATGTTTTCACAGGGTTGCCTCCAAAGGGATGTCTATATCAAGGCCTGATGGGATCATTGGAAAATGTAGAATGATCCGCCATGATCGGGACAAACAAAATGACCCCAATCCACAGAGGTACTTAAACATATTACAGCTGTAAATCTTACGTACTCTGATAATCTCACTGGTTAAATACATTGCCACATTTAAAAGATGAAATTGTGTGGGAGTGAAACAGTACTTTGTTATATACACTTAATTGAAAGTGATAACCCCTCGTATCAGTTGGATGCCAGATTTGTTTAGCGATTTAAAAAAAAAAAAATATATATATATATATATATATGTATGTACAATGTTATAAATAGCCCTGCTTTGGGTAATGTTAATTGTCATTTCCTGTCACAGGTTTGACCGAATAGCTCACACAAGGCAAACAATGGCAAGGGATGGGATCAATTCATTAACATATAAGGTTGTTACAATTGAGAAAGACCAGCTATTCACCAAAATCACAGTGGATGTGGGAAAACCATGATTCCTGCGTAGAGACCAACATAAAACTGAGAGAAACCGCAGCGCTGGCTGTCGAAACCAGATGTGCCTTGATAGTCAAATGGATCATTTTCAAAGTGGATTCTATATTTTTAAAAAGACACGCAAGTACTTAGAAATTTTTGTTTTGCCATCTTTGCACATGTGATGGTGAACACAGGGGTCTGGACTCCTTTTGCCCAGTGTATCAGAACTGTTCGGCTGCTAAAGGAGACACACAAGGGTTTCAGGTTGTCCTCGAGGTGACGGGCCAAACTTGTTCTGTCTCAGACACTTCTGCTGAGGAAAAAGACTATATTTTGAGCCATTCAATAAAAGCAGCAAATTAAAGTGAACTGAATTGCTGATGAAAATATCCTTGTGGTGGGACAAAGTATGTGAGTTGCTGTGTATGGGATTATTTAGTTGTGTGTTTGAAAGCGAATATTTAAAGGATCGATTTAGTTAATCAGCAACCTAAGCAATGCAACAAAAAAAAATTGAAGATGTACCAATCAAGGGTTGTTGATACTGGCAAACTGGCATTTATGGGCTGTCACATTTTTGTTTACTTTTATTACGAATTGCATCTCATTATCTCGTTGCTGTACCAGGTTATTTGTACTTTACAGAGCCTTTTAAATGATATCTCTCTTTGTTAGGAGTGAGATGTCTGAATGTATTGGCCTGCATGGTTTTTGATGCGTATTTGACCATTATTATGTTTGCTGGAACACCAAAGTGGCAGCCTTGCATCTTAAAAGACATTAATTTCCTCCCTTCTGTTTGGTGCATTATCTTTTTGATTGCAAATCTATCCAATCAAATGCAGCATTATCAGGCCAAGCTTTCAGATTTGCTCTGTTCCTTTTCATGCTTTTCGGTCCTTTATTGCATTGTGAATTTCTCAGATCCATGCTGGTTATTAAGGGCACAAGAATATTCAAGCTCTCTACTGTAATGAAAACATGAAGCCATTGAGAACTTTGCTGAATTGACCTGTTGATACTTGTATCTTTTTTTTCTCTCACATGTGCTGGTCTGCAGAAAACAGTGTTTTATGTTAAAACCTGTCATTGTGGAAACCAAAAATGCCTTTCAACTCTGTCAGGGGACGAAATGCAGACGAAGCAAATGAATGTATGTCAGCTGTTTGCTCAAGTGCTTTTCAAGATGGCGACTAACAGCCCGTACACAATGTACAGAATGTTTAAGTTGCGCAGCCAAATTTTTTCCTCTGTGCCGAGCACCCCAAAAGACCCATAGATTTTCTTTCCAGCTAAAAAACTCTCCAATGCCTTATAATAAGTCCTTTGCAGCAGGAAAGAAAACTACCTCTCCACACGGCACGCCACTCGCAAGCAGAAGGGATTAGCAGCTAATGCTGTCTCTCAAACCAAATGCTTTGGCAAATAATCTTGGGCTTTTTTTCCTCTTAGCTCAGTTAAAGCGAGGTCTAAATCTGTTTAGACAATGGTCTTTGTTTGAGAGCCAGCACATAATTAATTGTATTCTTTCTTTCTTTCTTTCTTTCCAACAACTTTTTTGTTTTCTATTTTTAATGTTCCTCTTACTTTAGTGTAATGCAGTGAACAATGAACGTAATTTGGAATTATGGAAAGTAAATAATTAAATTGGGTTTGATTTAACTTTACTCTGTGTGTGTTGTGAATTGTAATAAAAGGCAGTCATGTGATGCGTTTGGCCAGAGGCAGCCATCATGGCCTTTTCAGCAGAAAACATTGTAACTTTCCACGCACACAAACCATTAAATCTTGCCTTGCCACCGATGCGATCTTACCTCGGAGCTAATGGTTTATTTCTCTAGTTATAGTTATATGTATAACATAAAAAGGATGAATGGAAGGATAGATAGACTTTGTCTTATCTTTAAAATAAACACATTTATAATTTTCCTCTGAATCAGATAACGCAAATTGCCGTGTATAGACATACTGTTTATTTCTGCCAATGAAGCAGTGCCAAAAAAAAGCATTATCAGGAAGTTCTCATAAACAATAGGCCATGCTTTGGTTTTCTCATGGTGGCTTTATGTGAACATGAGCCATTACAAATGAGAATGTCATTAGCTGCCACTGTAGTAAATGTTCAGGGTGGAGCGTATCATGGGATTCCGCTGCTGTTTGCATGATGTGCAACACTAGGCACTATACACACGTTTTTTTGCATGTAGCAACTTTTAGGTGTTTGTTACAATAATAGTATTTTATAACAGGGAATTTGAAGTTAAAAGTCACCCCTTGTCATTAGGGTGTTTAATTCCAGGTTGTTCCATCTAAACGATGATCACAGGTGTAGAACACTTCTGTGCAATTCCTCATGAAATCCCCAACTGATGTGGCTAACTAGTCAAGGCGAAATAACTGGGGGATTCTTAAGCTTAAGAGAATGAAGTGGGAATTAGAACACTGTTTGCACAAAGTCTGGCTCGCCCTGGAGAGACAAACCTGTTTCCTGGTGGACAAACTGGCCAGAGACTCTCAGGTCACCTCAGTGCACAGAAACCAGCAAGACTAGATTAATGATCCATGTTTTTAACAACCTCAGCATGGCCTGCTGCTGCTGACCTGTTGAGAACACATGCAACTCATATTTCACCCTAAAATCTAACGAATTTAAATAACTTTTTGCAAAAAGACAATTAAGCACATTTCCCCAAATTCCTATTATGAAGTCTTATTACTATTATGCAAAAAAAAAAAAAGATATTTAAATTTAAGTATTTTTACGTGATGGTGTTTGTTGTTCTGCTTTTAATTTAGGTTTTCTTTTGTAACATTATCAAATAGGCCGTTTTATAATGATTATACATCAAGAGTTCAAATATAGGTGTGTGTGTGTGGATGATACTGTTGACACCTTTCTACATGCAAAGTTATAAAACCATGATCCGCACTCAACAACAAAAAAAAAGTCTTTCTGTGTTTTATTTTACATTAATCACCAGTAGGACAAATCATGATTTAAAAAAAAGAGATTGAACTGTTTAACACACTGAAGAAGGCTTTCATCCGCGGCTTTCAGTGCGAATAATGGTTTTATACAAATAATTTAATAGATTGACGCAACCAGATATTAAGTGACAAAAGAGCGCAGTGCAAACAGCTTTGTACATGCAAAGTAATGACTTATTATTTGTGTTTTTATCTCTAAGTTTACTCAAATTTGTTTTAGATCATTATCCTGTTAAGGTGTCTTAAATGCCTGACAGAAACCAGTTTACTTAGGATTCACCTTCACACACACGTCTTTCCCTCTGCACCAATCAGACTGGTCTTGTGTATTTTATACGCAGCTGTGTTGGTGTGAAGAGAAAATATAATTTATGGTGTTTGTTGCTTGTTACAGTAAACGCCTGATGTTTTTGCTGTGAAGATTTGCCAAATAAAATCCAAACTTCTTATTTTATCTAAACATCTTATTTTGCATCAGTGTTTAGTTGTAATTAGATGGATATAAATTTGATTTAGCATGTTTTTTTTTTTTTTTCAGAATAATCCCTGGGAAATTCAGCTACAATATCAAATAGATGTCACACTCAGATTGCTGCAATTATTTATTATTTTTTTTAATTTTTTTAGTCATACACAGACAAAATGTGGGGTTTTACATTCACAGGAAACATAAGTTTACCCTTATTTTGACTGATATGAAGTAACTTGTATATAATTTAAAAGAATGTGATATCATACTTGAAACCCCAAATATTTAGTCAAAGTTTTCTTTTCTTTTTGTAATAAGTGATAAACACATGTACTTTAAATAAGTAATTTTAAATAAGCCAGGGCCTTTCAACTAAATTTGTATATTGGTCAGGTCCAAAGGGAATCATTTCCTCTTCCGCCACAAGAGCTGTTTTGATGCAGTCACTTCTCCTCAGTGTCCGGTAAAACACAGATGCCTCGCTAACATAAACGTTCTGTGATACTTTACATAATTGTCTTTATTAAATATGTGTGAGTTTAATTTGTCCAGACTATGAAAATTATGTTGGGTCAGATGAAAGACTATTACTCTGGCATCAGACACCAGTCTTTTTTTTTTTTTAATGTCTAATGATTGATTCCATCTTATTTCTTCCAAACGGCCGACCTGAAAATTAAGTATATGGTTGCATGACAGAGGATCAAATATGATCAAGTTATCTGACAATGTGTTTATAATGAAGTCAGCTATATTAATGCTGGTATAAACAGACTATGAGTAGGCATTTCTTTATCCTGTGTGGAAGTGAGGTGACCTTGAGCATCTGCTGCTGGAAACAAAGACCCACCTGGTTGTCATGTCCTAAAATACGGAGGCCTCTGAGACCCACATGCCCTGTCTGAATTCCAGGCAGGCTGAGTCTTGATTCAGGGAACAAAAATTCAACAGGGAAGTTTTAGCCACGAAGACCCGAGTTGGAGAGAACCAGGAAGAGAAAGTCAACATACCTCTGTCAACACTGAAACCGACAAACCAGACCAGTAATACTGTTTTATGTACATAAGACCCTTCCCAACCCCGAGGGACACTTTTAAGCATCAACATAATCACATTGTTAAAGCACATGTGACGACCCCGGGCTGGACTCCCGATTTGTCTACGATGAAAGCCGATCCGGCGATCTACAGCGCGAAATTGATGTATTTCCTCATTGACGAGCATGCATCAGCTCCAGGCATGACGAAGCGGATATCGTCCTCTTTTGGAAGGCCAAACAAAGTAGTTTCGCTTTCACAACGAAACACATGGCAGCAACAATACTACAGCGAGAATAAAAGTTACGCCTTCTTTCTTTGCGTGAACATTTGGGCGCCGTTATACAAATCTTCCCACATTGTGATGTAGACATGTGGGGCCGTGTTAGAACGAGCCATTTTAGGTAGGTGTGGCTGACTCTTAACTTTTATAAAGAATATCTCTTTGGATTTGAGACTTTAGTCTTTGCAACTTTACAGATCTTCTTTATGCACCAAGAGCCTGTAACACTCCAAAGAGAAAGGAAAAATTGAAATTGCATCATATGACCCCTTTAAACACAGTCAAATCCAACAGAAACACAGTAAAATAGCAGGGTGCAGGATAATTGACATGAATAGCAGAATGAAAGAAAGTTTGCTGATTTTAAAGGAATCATTAAAACTGAAATTTCTGTGTCATTTCCTCTCTGCCGTGTCGCGTCGCTCCAAACCTTTGTGACTTTGTTCTGTAGAAAGTCACATGAGAAATCTGCAGAGTCTGCTGTTCTCTTTTATGTGCAATGTCAATGAATGGAGCTGTTTTGCAAAAGAACCACAAATGATACATAAAAGTGGTTGTGGTTCATACAACTTTAAGCCTTCTGTAATTTTACACTCTTAAAAATAAAGGTGCTTCACGATGCCATAGAAGAACCTTTAACTTAGAGACCTTGACAAGTTTAGCAAGCCTGAATGACATCACAGAAGTAAACGTAGTGTCAGGTGACGTTGTTGACTGTTGTTAATCTTTGTTTGATTATGGGGAAATTCCATATACATAAACAGAAATGGGCTAAAGGAAAACCTAAAGGATAGATATGAAACATTCGTGCCTACTTGGGTTGAAAAATAGTAGAGCAAAATGCACTAGGTTTCTGTGTGAAGCTTTTACGCTATTCATATGATGATCTCATACTTTTTTTCTTTATTTCTTTTTTACTTGTATTAGTTTTTTACTGTATATTCTTTTTCTGCATGTACTTACCCTCATATCACTTGAAACTTGAATACAGTTTATTTTTCATGGACCATGAAAGTTATTTAGAAGAATATCAAAACCTAAAGATACATAACACATTTTCTATTCAAAGTATTCACAATACTGTATATTCATGACGACTCTGGGGACTATAAGAGCTTTTAGAGTTACACTAAAGTTGACTGTCATTATATTAATTGTTTCTTCCATGAGTTTCAAGTACAAAAACATTAAAATGTATGTTTTAATATTAGCATTTGACATATAATTAGCAGAAATACTAATAGAGGAAAGGAAAAATTACACAGGTTTGAATGATGAAGAAGAGACAGAATTTTCATTTTTGGTGATCCATCCCTTTAAATTGGCCACAATAAGGATATTGAAATCAGATTAGGTATTATGGAGTCTACTGAGAGTGAGTTTCCATAATTTCTGTGGCACATTTCTTCCTATTATGCAAATCTCAGGGTAATATTTCACCTTTCTGTTAGCAGTCTTGTATGTTTGACTGTCATTGCATGCCACTTTCTCCTATTGTATTTAAAAGACAGGAATGCCCACATGCATGCCACACGTGACATTTCAGTTGTAGCCTAACAAATGAAGCATTAGATACGTTTGAGTGTTTTCAACATCTGAAAACTGATGATGGCCACTTTTGGCATGTCCACCACCAGTTGTATTGTGGGGAAAGTGGTTTTTCAGATGTCCTCTAGAGGGAGCCTTCTGCCACTCTCTTAAATAGTGTCTGTCTCTGTTGTGAAGTCATGTTCTCACATGACTCCAGAAGATTGGTCACGATCAGTCTTTGATTTCACCCACACTCTGCCATTCATCCCAACAACCAGCTCAAAGGGGAATATCTTCTCCAGGTCCTTCGCTATCTCACTCTGAGGAGCCAGAAGTCTGATGGAAAGAACACCACCACATTCTTTACTTTAGCTTTTAAGTTCTACAGGCAAAAATACAATTATTGGGCTATTTGGCTTTTCATAAAGTGTTGGAAAGAAAACATGCAAAATTATTGCACTTTATCCATTTACATATGTAGATTTCGATTATAATACAGATCTTTAAAGGCTGTTTTTTTTCTCTCTCACAAATCTCTACTTCAGTAGCACTAACAAAAACTTTCACAGTTTATCACTATCAATTACATTTTTTCTTCCTGAAAACATGGTGAAATGTATTTTATCTGATTGTTGCCAGTATTTTCTGATTTGTGTAGTTATAAAAAGAGATTAAAAGGGGTCATATGATGCGATTACAAGTTTTCCTTTCTCTTTGGAGTGTTACAAGCTCTTGGTGCATAAAGAAGATCTGTAAAGTTGCAAAGACTAAAGTCTCAAATCCAAAGAGATATTCTTTATAAAAGTCAAGAGTCAACCACGCCTACCTAAAACGGCTCGTGCTAACATGTCCCCACATATCTACGTCACTATGTGGAAATATTAGCATAATGCTGCCCAAATGTGCACGCAAAGAAAGAAGGCGTGGTTTCAGGAACAGCAGTAGTGTTGATGCTTGAACTGATGGTAAAACTAAAGACATTATTAACTGTCGTGAGATTTACTTTAAAAGCTGACGCTCGCGATTATGGTAAGGGGCCTTACATTTCCGACGCGTGCTTGTGGTGTTCGGCCAATCACAATGCACTGGGTCAGCTGGCCAATCAGAGCAGACTGAGCTTGTCAAAGGAGGGGGCTTTGTTGAAAACGAAGTGTTTGAGAGAGGCGGGGCATAGAGGACCTACAATAATGTACAGTATTTGAAAAATAATGTGTTTTTTGAACATTAAAGCATGTCAACATATTCTGTTACACCAAATAATGACCTTTAAAATAGCCTCATATGACCCCTTTAAATGACATTTTAACCTGGCTTTATCCAATATTCAAATGTCTGTTCTGGGAATATATGCAAACCAGTGCATATTTAATTAGATATTGCATTATTTGTATATTTAAACAAATATCAGAAAACTTGTAATACATCAACAAGGGAAGTATGGTAATACATTTTTATTTTACCCTATTCACCTGGGGTGTCTTGCCTTCCGAGTTAGGCTTGGACGTATATAGATTTCTAAGCTGTATAACAAATCACAAACCTGCGCATGAGTCCCAGTGATAGTTTAAAGAGCAGCCCGTCCGCTCCAAACACCCCCATCCCGTTGGCCCTGCCACAGCTGTCTATACACACCAGCTTGGGCTCCATATCTTTGTTTGCAATTGTGAACTGGCCGTACACCAGATCTCCAACCTGCAGAACAAAACCACACAATAGCATTGTGTACATTCACAATACAACACAAACAGTGCTCGTAAAGAAATGACACATGTAGGATCTGAGAGTGTTTATATGAGCAAAGTACCTGCACATTAGGTCTGTTCCTCTTGGTTGCTCCCTCAAATGCAAGATAAGAAAGAGATGCCTGTTCACTTCCTCCCACGTCCACTTTGAAGATATCTCCAGACTTTGCAGTCACAATGCCAATTACACTTTCACCTTTGGCTGGTAACATACATACTGGAAGAAATAACGATTAGCAGAACGATTTAGCCCCTACTGAGTGATAAGCTTGTTTGGGGCAAATGTATTAATTTTTTTCTATTTTATAAAATGTTTACTTTTTTTTTTTTGATTAAACAGTATTTAGAAAAGTACCAAAAATAAGTATAAACGAATATTAAGAACATTTAATATTCTGTATTATTGAAGAAGAAAAAAAGAATGATAATGAGCATTAACCATTTATTTAAAAAAAATAATAATTTTATAGAGAGAGAGAGATAGATAGATAGATATACTTAAACTACAAAATGCCCTAATTTCCAACAGAACAAGCTAAAATAATAAGTGCACATAAACTTTGGGTCTACTGGTGTGAGTCCAGTACCCTCACCCGTCTCTGCTGAGAGTCGATCCAGTACATGTTTGGCTGTTTATGGCGCAAAATTCCACTTTTATACACTTGAACTTCCTCCCCGTTTCTCCGGAGCCCTGGACCGGTTTTGATACTACCATCTCCAGATTCAGGCAGTCTGAATGAGAACACATCTCCTGGTAAAAGCACTTCACCGATTTTCTCTTCGAAACAAGCATGTACGGTGTCCATTGCAAAAAAAAAGCAACGCGCGTGCCCTGTGTTTGTGTGCCTCCGGAACCGAGAAAGGCTCTTATTATTTTCAAAATAAAAGTTTAGAAATAAAATGAAAAAGAATGTTATTTTAAATCACTTACTGATTAGTTAATCCACCCAACCATTTAAAAAAGTATAAATAAATAAATACTTTCAAAAACAAAACGGGAAAGTCATTTAACATATCTCTAAAAATAACAACCATGATTTTACTAACAGAAGTAAATCGGATAGGATGCGTTTTATAATTGTTAAGGAGTCCTATAACCTGTTTTACTTTACATTTTTTTCCTACAAAATCTTATGAGTACAGTTCCCTCGTGACTTAACAAATCTAAAATAAAACATTGCCCTGATGAAACCTGCTTAGGTGGAAATTTCCAACAATTCAGATATAACGATAATTTAAAATGTTGTGAAAAGAAAATGTATTAGCTTTTTGAAATCCTTTCGGTAGCCGTGCTTGAGACTCCAGCGGAAATGCGTCAAGGGGACTTTTGTTGTATTTCCGTTATGGCGGAGCACACAGAGGCAGAAGGCATTAGCCTGGCCGCTAACAGGTGCGGATTTTGCATTATATTTCATACACCTGCTAAAACAAACGACCAGTTATAGTTAGCTTCAGTTTTTTCCTTAAAAGTACAATGTGTAGCATTTCGCAGTTGGCTAAAGCGAATCTCTTTTAAGCCTCGTTTGGCCTGTTGGTCCGGGGACAATGAAAGCTTCATAACGGCAGACGGCAGTGTTTTTACATCGTTATGTCTTGACTTTTTTTTTTTATAGATCGTGCATTTAGAAGTTATAGATCGTGCATTTAGACATAATTGCGTCATATAAGGTCTATTATGGCACCTCAGGAAGATTTAATGGGCGTTATGGTTCGTAAGAATGCGTTATAATGTGTTGTTTTGCTGTTTAGTGTCAGTCTGCAGCAGTCGTTGTGTACTGTACAGATACTGTTTGTTAATAAGTTTGTTTTCTCTCATCAGCATGGCTCAGCAGCCAGCAATCCGTTTCCCTGCCACTGCCCCTCCTCCTGCCAACCTCTCCACCCGCAGGCAGCCTTTACTGAGCACCCCTGTGCCTCCCTTTCCTATGATGAGGGGTCCTCCACCTCCTGCCCGGCCGCCCTTCGGACGGATTCCCTTTGACCCCAGTGTGCCCCCTCCCATGGGTGCTCCTCCTTTACAGGTGTGAATATTATATCAGCGGCCATTTATTATGTAATTCCCCAAATTTGTTTTAATTGGAATGGAAAGAAACGGTTGGGAATTGGGAAGGTTTCATTGACACCTATGACTTATTTTTCAATTTAAGAGACCCCCGTTTATGCCTCCACCTGGAGGATCCATGCCGCCTCCACAGTCTGAATGAGAACACATCTCCGGGTAAAAGCACTTCACCGATTTTCTCTTCGAAACAAGCATGTACGGTGTCCATTGCAAAAAAAAAAGCAACGCGCGTGCCCTGTGTTTGTGTGCCTCCGGAACCGAGAAAGGCTCTTATTATTTTCAAAATAAAAGTTTAGAAATAAAATGAAAAAGAATGTTATTTTAAATCACTTACTGATTAGTTAATCCACCCAACCATTTAAAAAAGTATAAATAAATAAATACTTTCAAAAACAAAACGGGAAAGTCATTTAACATATCTCTAAAAATAACAACCATGATTTTACTAACAGAAGTAAATCGGATAGGATGCGTTTTATAATTGTTAAGGAGTCCTATAACCTGTTTTACTTTACATTTTTTTCCTACAAAATCTTATGAGTACAGTTCCCTCGTGACTTAACAAATCTAAAATAAAACATTGCCCTGATGAAACCTGCTTAGGTGGAAATTTCCAACAATTCAGATATAACGATAATTTAAAATGTTGTGAAAAGAAAATGTATTAGCTTTTTGAAATCCTTTCGGTAGCCGTGCTTGAGACTCCAGCGGAAATGCGTCAAGGGGACTTTTGTTGTATTTCCGTTATGGCGGAGCACACAGAGGCAGAAGGCATTAGCCTGGCCGCTAACAGGTGCGGATTTTGCATTATATTTCATACACCTGCTAAAACAAACGACCAGTTATAGTTAGCTTCAGTTTTTTCCTTAAAAGTACAATGTGTAGCATTTCGCAGTTGGCTAAAGCGAATCTCTTTTAAGCCTCGTTTGGCCTGTTGGTCCGGGGACAATGAAAGCTTCATAACGGCAGACGGCAGTGTTTTTACATCGTTATGTCTTGACTTTTTTTTTTTATAGATCGTGCATTTAGAAGTTATAGATCGTGCATTTAGACATAATTGCGTCATATAAGGTCTATTATGGCACCTCAGGAAGATTTAATGGGCGTTATGGTTCGTAAGAATGCGTTATAATGTGTTGTTTTGCTGTTTAGTGTCAGTCTGCAGCAGTCGTTGTGTACTGTACAGATACTGTTTGTTAATAAGTTTGTTTTCTCTCATCAGCATGGCTCAGCAGCCAGCAATCCGTTTCCCTGCCACTGCCCCTCCTCCTGCCAACCTCTCCACCCGCAGGCAGCCTTTACTGAGCACCCCTGTGCCTCCCTTTCCTATGATGAGGGGTCCTCCACCTCCTGCCCGGCCGCCCTTCGGACGGATTCCCTTTGACCCCAGTGTGCCCCCTCCCATGGGTGCTCCTCCTTTACAGGTGTGAATATTATATCAGCGGCCATTTATTATGTAATTCCCCAAATTTGTTTTAATTGGAATGGAAAGAAACGGTTGGGAATTGGGAAGGTTTCATTGACACCTATGACTTATTTTTCAATTTAAGAGACCCCCGTTTATGCCTCCACCTGGAGGATCCATGCCGCCTCCACCTGGCATGATTTTCCCTCCAGGAATACCACCTACAGCCTCTCCTGCTCCTGCTCCTCCTTCTACAGAAGAAATCTGGGTGGAGAATAAGAGTCCTGAGGGAAAGGTATGACTTCTAATCCTTCATGGAGTGCGAGACATTGTTGGTTCCATATGGCAAGGCGTTATGGCTTGTATTCGAGTCACTTCACATGGGGAGTTGTATTCTTGTTTTTCAGAATTCTTTGATGAATAGAACGTTAAAATGAATCACTTTTTTATTTTAAATGGAAAACTTTTGTAACATTACACATGTATTTACTGTCACTTACCTTCAATTTAATTAATCCCCGCTGAATAAAAGTACTATTTTCTTTAGAAAAACTACCTTTTGAACGCTAGTGCATATTAAATAATATTATGTATTTATAAATATCCTAAATACACGCACTTAAGAACATATAAAAATGTATACTTTAAGAAATAAATGCATAACTCATTGGATCTTTCTTAAAGGGGTCATATGATGCGATTTCAAGCTTTTTTTTGTGTGTGTGTTACAAGCTGATTGTGCATAGATAAGATCCCTGAAGTTGCAAAGACTAAAGTCTCAAAACCAAAGAGATATTCTTTATCAAAGTTAAGACTCTGCCACGCCCCCCTAAAACGCCTCGTTATAACACGCCCCCACATATCTACCTCACTATGTGGAAATATTTGCATAATGCCGCCCAAATGTGCACGCAAAGAAAGAAGGTGTGGTTTCAGTAACTGCAGTTAGTGTTGAAGCAGCCATGTCAGGGAGACACTGTGTGTTTCTAGGCGAAAGCAAAAGCACTTTATTTGGCCTTCCGAAAGTAGATGCATTTAGGAATCTTTAAGATTACTTACAACAGAACAGCAATGCATTTTATGGACCGTTGAGTGCCATGAAACAGCTTGAAAGATCAAAGACAATTTTTAATATAACTCCGACTGGATTCGTCTGAAAGAAGAAAGTCATATACACCTAGGATGACTTGAGGGTGAGTAATTTATGGGCTAATTTTCATTTTTGGGTGAACTAACCCTTTAAGGGTCTTATAGGCAAGTAATAATATTTTGTAACTGATACGGAACTTAA